CAGAGTTAAAGATGCTAAGATTCTCTTTAGGAGTGACAAGAATGGACAGGATCAGGAATGAGGTCATTAGAGGGACAACACAGACAGGAAGGTTTGGAGAAAAAGCTAGAGAAGCCAGATTGAGATGGTTTGGACATGTGCAGAGGAGGGACAGTGGATACATTGGTAGAAGAATGTTAGAGATGGAGCTACCAGGTAGGAGAAAGAGAGGAAAGCCAAAGAGGAGATATATGGATGCAGTGAGGGAGGACTTGCAGATAGTTGGAGTCAGAGTAGAACATACAGAGAACAGGGAGAAATGGAAATCAATGATTTGCTGTGGCAACCCCTGAAAAAAAAAGGGACAAAGCCGAAAGAAAAAGAAGAAGTCCGAGGCCATTGTTCTCGACCAGAAAAAGGTGGTTTACACCCTCCAGGTTGGGGAGGAAGTCCTGCCTCAGGTGAAGGAGTTTAAGTTTCTTGGGGTCTTGTTCACGAGTGAAGGTAGGATGGAGCGTGAGATTGACAGGCGGATCTGTGCAGCGGCCTCAGTAATGTGGTCGTTGTATCGGTCCGTTGTGGTGAAGAAGGAGCTGAGCCGAAAGGTGAAGCTCTCGATTTACCGGTCGATCTACGTTCCTACCCTCACCTATGGTCATGAGCTTTGGGTCATGACTGAAAGAACGAGATCCCGGATACAAGCGGCTGAAATGAGTTTTCTCCGCAGGGTGACAGAGTGCTCCTTTAGAGATAGGGTGAGGAGCTCTGTCACACGAAAGGAGTTCGAAGTAGAGCCGCTGCTACTCTACATTGAGAGGAAGTGGCTTGGGTATTTACACCGCATGACCCCTAGACGCCTCCCTGGGCGTCTGGGGGGCGCCTCCCAGACGCCCCCCAGACGGGGGTCTTGGGAGGAGCTCTGGCCCTGGGCCTGAGACCTAGGACACGCTGGAGCAACTATGTCACTCGGCTGGCCTGGGAGCCCCTTGGAGACCCCCCAGAACAGCTGGAGGAAGTGTCTGGGGAGAGGGAAGTCTGGGTGTCCCTGCTCAGACTGTTGCCCCCGCAACCCGGCCCTGAATAAGCGGACGATAATGGATGGATGGAACTAAAATTGACTTGAATTGACTTAACCATAGATGAAAAGACTCACTATGAACTTCCCCATTTGGGGATGAATAAGGAACACCATTATTGTTAATATTTGACAATATCCAAGAAGAATGAAGAAGTCTTAAGACAAGGGCAGATCGAATGTGATTAGATGTCATTTGGACTTTTACATTAAACAATAACTTTGAATAATACATTTTGAGAAAGGAAGGCTTTTCCTAAATCATCCAAATCATTCAGTTCAAGTTAAAATACGTCTGACCACCATTCAAGGACCTACTGTATGTGTTTTGTTTACTGACAAGGAGCAAAAAAAACAAAACAAAAAAAACTTCCTTTTTAAGTCAACAGATATAACATATAGTCATCATGAAGACAAATAAAAGTTTTTGATCCCATGGACTAAACGAGGTTTGGCAAAAAACCAAAAAAAATTTCTCACCGTTTAATCCGATGTAGCAGAAGAGACCTCGTTGTTGAGTAAGGTGGTTCCAGCAGCTTGGATTTCCCAGAAGCCTCAGCTTCTCTCTCAACATGTATCTGATTAACATACATCGACTGACAACGTTCTTCACCTCAGTCTGCCTGCAGAACACAGGACAACATATATGACATATATTACATACAGATTCTTCAGACTTCAGTGTAAGAGTCTGTTTCCTTGTTCTGTCTCATGGTCACTCCCTGTTCACCTCTAGATGTCTCCACAACCACTGGACCTGATCCAGACCTGACAATCATGTCATGTTGTCATGTTGTTTTTCAAAACTCATAAACTTCTCCCTACACTTGTACTGTTTACACTGTAACAGCCTGTGTGGACCTGCTGGAGATTCTTCCTGTTAAAAGGGAGTTTACTTGCTCAGTGTGTAATTCAATTAGATTTTTAATAATATTTTCTAAACTTTAAACTTTACGTCATACATAATCTCAATATTAATTCATGATTAAGTCTGATTTTTAAACTCCATTGAAACAAATGTGTTTTGTGAATATGGGCTATACAAATAAAACATATTTGACTTGACTTTAAAGTTAAACTGCCGATAAACAAACACCTCCCTCTCCTGGCACACTACATGTTATTCATCTTATTACCTCATTGTATTAGATTTACCACTTGCACATACTGGGCATGTTTTGCAAATTAACTAATTAGCCATATAAATCAAACTATGCATGCAGGTGCCAAAAGCACGTGTCAGTGCAAATTTGCTTTGCATGCACAGACATTTTATTATATAACCCCTTCATCACAGTTGATTACTACGGAGCCTCTAAAGGGACATGGGGGGAAAAAAAGCGTATCTCGTGCTCACGAGATACTTTCTCTGGAGGGCACTGTTGTTGGGCACTTGTTGTGGCAAAATGTCTGAGATATACTTTCTCGTGAGCACGAGAAAGTATCTCATGGTCAAGTATCTAGTGCGCACGAGAAAATAGCTAGTGCGCACGAGATACGTTTCTCTCTTCTTTTTTTTCCCATGTCCCTTTAGGGGCTCCGTAGATTCCCAACAAATGCTGCAGAAACCAACTTTGTCCAAAGATGGCGATCACGTACAGGGATTTATTGTTATGGAAATAAATATTAAACTTATTTTTAGGAATGTCTCTATTCAGTTTACGTGCAGTAACTCATCTTACTGCCAGGGTTATGTCATTTTATGTTGTTATTGAATCACTGATATACAAAGGTTTAATAAAATAAGACTTTTTCCAAGGAAAGGAAGTTCAAGATCAAAATAAGTTTCTCTCTCTCTCTCTCTCTCTATATATATATATATATATATATACTGTATATATACATATATATAATGTCTGTTTGCAGCAACAGGTTGAAAAGAAAAGATAATCTTTTAACCAATTTTTTAATCCAATTTGCTGTTTTTTAGAGATATACTCACACCATATTTACCAAAGAAATTGTTTTTAATACTAATCTTTTCATAAGTATTGCTTTGTTTTTTACCAGAAAATGCTCATGGTTAAATACTAAATACTTTGACCAGGACCAGGTCGTAGCTCCATTCTGTAAAGCAATCTTCACGTTGTAAAAAGCACACCATTTAATAATTGTACAGTTTAAATTCTACTTAAATATTTTAAGCGAGTGAATGTATAAGTGACTCACCATCCAGCACAATGAGCTGGATTACTGAGCACCGCTGTAACCACATATACTCCTCCAGCAGATGGTGCTTCACACAACGATGTGACTAAATCTGCCGCTTCCAACTTTAGGGAAGACAGGCGGGACTTCCTCTTTGACACACAAAGAAGGTGTCCAAGTGGGTCACCTGATGAGGAGGGGAACAAGATAAAAACAGGAACTGATAAAGGTGTGTACATTTTTCTACTAGAACACATAACTCTGTGGAGCCTTGTTTAGGTTTTACCTGTCCTGCTAGCTCTTAGCATGTTAGATAGCATGTTGCCTACTCTATTACTCCCTCCTCCCTCCTATCTACTGTACTATATAATTTGTATATTCTTCCAATTTAGATTGTGTTATATTTTATGGCAGGTGTTTGTTTGTTTTTTATTTTGGCCTTTGGCTGTCCTAGCAGTGGTACCACTGCTATGCTAATCTAGCTACATCTGGGTGGTTCAGTGTTGCATAATTATTGTTTTGGGGGAAGTTATTTTACACATTTAATTTATTGACAAAGTTTTATAGACAGAGCACACGGGCTGCTCATCATTATCCTGTTTTGGGTCACTATGCGCTCCTGTATGTGTCGCCTCAAGCACTTGTTATGCATTAATTGTTTGTGAAGAAGAACCTGAGGCAGTCCAGGAAACACCGTTGTGCTTATTGACTCTGCTGTGCAATGAAAAGGTGAAATGATCACACATTATTGGATTTGTGGAATTATTGAATAGACAAACGGTGAAAATGAAATACAAATACAACAATTATGCCTGGCAACACTGTGGTGGATCGTAAATCATGGATCCAAGATCAGGAATGATTAACTGCTCCTTTTTGTCCTTGATTTCTCCCTTTTATGGACTTTTTGAGCTGTATTTCGTCTGCCCTGCTTCACTGCTTACTTTGCCCTGGGAGATGCAAGCATGGGGCTAATTACACCTGATGGTATTGATTTTATAATCAAGCTTCACAAAGTCAAAGTTGTCTCTCAGAAGGAAAAATTTTGGACAAGAAGATTACCAGTGAAGGAGTTGAGACAAAGACAAATTCCTTAAATCACTGCTCTGTGTCTGTTCCCACTGTATCTGTGGTTCATAATGACAAACTATGATTGGAAATACGAGCACCTGTCATTAGACTCCCACGCACAGGCAGTGGACTCTGTTGGAAAGTAAGGAGCATGGACGAAGTAGAACTACTGATGCTCCAGTTTGATGGAAGTCACTGAAGTCTTTGTACAAGATAACCTTAGAAAATAGGTTTACTCTTTAAAAAAAAGACAAAATGACAACTAAAGAACAAGCATATCTTTGTATCTTTAAAAACCTCAACTTTTGGGCAAACTGAACCCATTCTGGAACATGTAAAACATTTAAATATGAATATTTTGGGGTTTATTCTCACCACTGAGGCCAAAGCTGTGTGAGAGTGACTGAGCACAAAAAAACTCCATTCCTTTTGATTCAAAATGCTGCACAGGCCAAGCATCCCTCTGTAAATCTCCATAACACAGGCCATGGAAAGGCAGCAAAAAAAAAGAAAATAGTTTGCGCCTCTGTTGGAAAAAGTGACAAGACAACAGATGATGATCTCAGCAGGAGCACTAAGCTAAAAAACACATTTTGTCTCAGTGTTGAAAAACAATATATTGTTACCATGATTAGATTTGCAATCAGATACCAGTGATCCTGAGACAGATCAGCTCCTGTCGGGTAGTGAGCAGAGGCTGACAGTACCACCACACTGTTCTCAGGAGCCTTCTCCAGATCTGCCAAAAGGTTTTCCAAACAAATGCAGCATCTCTTGTTGTCCCAGTAATGATAGTAACGGATATCTGGGACTCCTGCTGACTGGAAGATTCTAGCCACAGAGTCTACGGAAGGACCAGGGCAACATGTACAGTATATAGAATTCCAAGAAACATAGATGCTCCTTAATCAAACTGTCACAGCATGTTATTACTGCACTGACTACTTTAAACTATTATTATGTATGGAATAACAACATACTGCACACTTCTTTGCCTCTGGTCATGTAGTCACGTTAATAACCACTGTACATTCAGATGTTCAGGTCATTTAAGGATTCCCTCACGCTCAGCAGGTCATGATGTCTCATCCTCAATGCATAATTAACTAAATCAAAGTTTCATTTTGTTGCTCTACACAGACATATGAGAAGTTTTAGTGTCTTATTTGGAAATAATAAAAAAGATGATGTTTCCAGAAGTCATAACATTTTGAAAAAAAAGTTATAATTTTATAATATTTTCATTGTGATGGACTTACGCTGTGTGCCCATCTCTCGTCTCCTCCAAAATACATTCTCAAAATTTATGTATTTAAACTCCTTATTTTAAGAGTTTATTCTTGCAACGTTAGAACTTCTTATGAATTTGTGAACATATTCTTGTTATTTTATTTTTTTCCAATGATGCCCTAATACTGCATGGTATGTACAGAGAATTCTTCCATTTTAGAATCTGGAGCTTAAAGCAGCTCTAGAAAAAACAAATCTAGATTATGTAAATGCATGTAAGTATTTCATAATATATTGAACACTGCAGAATTATAATTATCTTAATTTTTAATTTTATTTTTTCCTATTTTTGTTTATGATTTACCAGCACTCACTTGTGATCTACTGGTAGAGTGCGATCAACTAATTGGGAATCACTACTTTAACTTAACCCAAATCTTTATTTTCTATCAGTGATCAATATTCAAACCTCAAACTATTGTTAAATTTGATAAAATTTCATTAACCATCACAAGGAGAAGAGATGTAGACTGGTCCACAGGAAGTAGCTCTGACATCATACCAGTGCTCTAGGAGTGAAGCCCCAAGATGCACTGCTGCTGTAAAACCCGTAGTTAGGACTCCTAATACCTGCAACAAAACCATTAATGCTGGAGCTGTTAATATTCAGGGGACATTGTTCAACGGTTGATATTTGATGGTTAAGTTAAGTCTGATGGAATCTCAATAATCATCAACAACAACAACAAGCCTTACATGGTACTAAGATTGAAATTACCTTGCTCTCCATTAAAGCCCGAGCGCTCTTTCCCAAAGTGACCTCGGTGACCCGTCTGGTAAATTCTGTCAGGCCAAGATCTGATGAACATTCTGGACCATAAGTGGGATGCATACTCAGTTGCTTCTTTATTTTTTCAACAATACGGAATTCAAAGGTTTTTCCTTCCTCGCTAAAATATTCTGTGAAGAAAACATGTACAACTTAAAAAATGTGTCACAGAATAAACCTCCTGTCCAGACCAGACAGTTCTCCAGTTCTCCAGCTTGTCAACTGTCAAAGTTTAGCTCAGAGATTTAATTCTCCTCTGTGCCCTGAGCCCTGAGTGAACTCATCAACATGCACTTCTGGTCCCTGTGAGAAAGTTGGTGGGTTTTCTCAAAGAGAGTTGAAGTAGTCATTGGTATCAGCACTTCTTGGAAAATTACCTCCAGATATCACAGAGCTGCTACTCCTAATCTGCGTTTCTTATTTTCAATTAACATCCTTCTCCTGGAAATAAACTCAGATTTAAGATGTGGTGTTGAACAGAGTTGAAGATGCCTTTCTTTCTGCTGAGTAATGCTGAAGATTAAAGTGTCCCTCAGTGAAATTGTACCTCTTCAATTAAGATCATAATATATGCTAATTTCTTCTTATTGCATTTGTGATTTTTTTTGTGTAAATTCAACAAAGTTGTGGTAAGTTGCTGCCACTCTAACAATAGTGACAGTGCATAGACCAGTGGTTCCCAACCTTTGTTGGCTTGTGACCCCATTTTGACATCACAGATTCTTGGCGACCCCAGAGACATAGAATCTGTCGCTTGTGCAGTCACATGATTGAAGTTGTCAATCAAGATGTGCAAGCTGAGATATTTCTATATGCTGCATTTTGTTTTAACTGGATTTATATTGATGAAAATGAATCAATAAAGTAAACACTGGCATAGGCCCTAGTTGTTCTGGAGACATTTATAAATAACAACAAAAACTATAGCAGTAGGTGATTTGATAAGGGGGATGCACCATGTTAACAAGAGGCAGCATTCCTTCTCTGCTCTGACAGAAAGGGAGACGCGGGGCATTTTGCTTACAAGAGGGAGACCTTTCCCTCTCCTCCCCTTTGAATTACCTACTGTCTATAAGAAACTGGTAATGAATGGGAAATGGTAAAGCTGTCCTTTATGACCTATAGATTGGTCATTCAGGTCTTATACACAAAGCAAGAACTTAAATGTAACATAACAGATATGTAATGGACCCACCTGTTCTGGCTAAGTCAACTTTCCTGTCTTCTGTGTCTTTCTTGAAGGCAGACAGCAGTCTTGTTTCAGGACTCACTGCTGCTGGTGGTGCTAGTGAGCCTTGACCTCCCAGATCTTCAGTTTGGTTGGGTTTTTCACCATGGCCAATGTTCTGACCCCTCATTTTGCATCCAGGAAGCTGGAATAGCAGCTAAATGAAGGTGAGTCTTTTGTTTGCACACGGTTGCCAGGCTGTAGCACGGATTTGGATACGGTTGCCCTGGCAACACGGATGGATGTGCTTGTCACTTAGTAATTTACTGTTGCCATCACTGTGAGTTATCATCAAATACCCTGTAGAAACATTTGGACATGACAGGGTCAGTTATCAGTGATGGACCAGAACAGACCAGGACTGAATGTGGGATATTTGCTTACGTGCCTCAGCTGAGAAAAATGACTCATGTGGAGAAAAGCTCTGTCAGTGCTGCAGTGTCTCTGCCTCAACAATCAGAGCTGGAGAATAAATGATATAATCTTCAGGTGGCAAATGTTTAACCTTCACCTCACAGTATAGCTGAAATTTGGTTCAAGAAGCTTTAAAAAAAGATTCTTACAAGTTCCTTAGAAAAGAAGAATTTTTTCCCTCCTTTCAGAAATATTTTTATATTTTTGTTATGTTCTCCCCTCTTGGTTTTACAGCCAAGTTTTTTTATTACTGTTTTTCACAAGAAACCCCAAACTAATCTCCCAATTGCTGTACAATTGCTGTCTAAAGGTTCAACTTCAATTCAAATATTTAATGAAATTCAATTCAATTCCGCAATAATTTTTTTTTTAATGATAGTAGTAATGAATACTTAAAAAGTAGTTGTAGCTCAGGCATCCTGTACCTCAAAGAAACAAGTTGACATGTCTAAACAAAAACCCCGTTCTGATAATTTTGTAATTTAGAACATCTGCTTAGATGACCACTGAAGAAGAACGATAATATCAGTAATTATTTAAGTTAATGTGTTTGGAAAAACTGTTGTTTTTAAAAAAAATCATTATTCTTAAAAAATGATTTTTTTTTGGGATATTAGTTAAAATATACAAAGGGTATTATTTATCCTATTATCTAGAGAGATATTAAGAATATATCTTAAGAGATAGACACAGATAGCGTGTGCTGACCTAGATATAGAATCCTTTCCAAAAAATATCTGAAAAATTTAAACCCATTAATTTAAACCCATTTAAACCTGTAATATGCAGCACAACTCAAATAACAGACAGACAAAAGACAGACCAATCCTGGCACATCCTGAGAGTGATGGGTAATGAGCCAGACGCTGCTTCTCATTTTACAGGTGTGTTTTTCTTCCACAGCCTTGTCACTTCTTCCATTAATGAGAAATCACTGACCAAGGCTAGATCTGCCGTATACTGTTTCACTTTTATTGAGTTCAACATGATGTCATTATGTCATAAAGCCCGAGGTTCCTGGCTATATGACATAAACTGATTCACCTTTTTTTTTTTTTTTTTTGCAAACATCAACAGCATTAATAGACAAAAATCAGCTTGGAGACTGTGGGAATACATCCCCCACAGTGCTGATGATAACAGATATAAGTACAGAAAAAAGCTTCTTATCTTTCTGATTGCGTGCCGCATTATTTTTCTTTTCTAACAAACCCCAAAAGCTAATTTTCTGTGTATAGATTCAAAGAGAGTGGTAAATTGTAGAAAAAGAAGGAATTAAACTCAACATCCTGCAGCAATAGGAGCAGCTGACTTCTTGGGCTTGATCCTCACAATAACTGCACTAGATGGCAGCATGTTGCCAAAACAGACAGTTGGTCTGCAAATTCATTGCATTATTTTAAAGCAGGAGGAGCAGCAACACACCTTCCTGCTCTGACCTATCCACAGCACTGTGTTCTCTTCAATCAAGCACAAATATAAGTGCAAGCATTGAATGATGTGAAATGATGTGAAGTGTGTTTTGGAGCAGAGCATCTTTATAAACTGAATCATGGCTACAGTGTACTTGGTTTCAAAGTATCAAAATAAAATGCAACGCATAAAATGCAATTAAAACACAAACACAAGCAGGTAATACATAGATAAATTAATGAATTAATTAATTCATTCATTCATTCATTTAAAAAAGGTGGTTCATCCAGGGTGAGACCCAGCAATTGCTACCCTGGCTGTCTGACCCCTGTAGATTCCCCCAATGTGGGAATCTCAATTGCATAATTTCTGGTAAACATAAATATTTAATAAATAAATATCTGAGTGAATGAATGAATGAATCCGAGACCAGAGCATTAAAACCAAAACACCCAAGGCGTAAAGAAGCCACGCTAATGTTGCGCATTGAGTTTAACAAGTAGCCTTTCTTAACACCAAAAAGGCTGTGACGGTCCAATGCGTCCTCCGCAAATCTGAAGTGGCAGCCGGTAAGATGCTAAAATTTGTTGGCTGTTTACCTGACAGAGTTTTGTTGCTGCAACTGGTTGTTGCCCTTGGTGTCGGTGTCGTGCCCGGGGGCCGCAGTGCGTGCATTGCTGCGTGAGTGCCAAATTAACCCTTGATGGTGCGTATGGAATTGCTTCTCTGATGGTGCCTGTTGGTTCTGTGGGTGTCTGTTGATGTGTTCTTGGTCGATGTCCTGGTTTACCTTTAACTCAAACGCTGTGGGGTTTATGTGGTAGAATAATCAGTGGGTGGTAGTTTTTTTTTAGTAGTTATTTATGGATATATGGATCGTGGTCATCTATGCATACAAAAGGTCAAGTGTTTTCATTTTTTATTTATGTCTTTTAACTCTATTAGGTTTGTTATTAGTATTAAATCAAATTAATTTTGTCTGAATATCACAGTTTAATGCCAGTATTTATTTTTGGCTTGCTGTACCAAATGTTTTGATTATGACCATACACCTTATATATCTTATATCTTAGAACTTATTATCTTTCATCATGTCATTATATTAAAGATTGTAGGGGGCACTGAAGCCACACCAAAGGAAATGGGTTGAGACATTGGAAACACTCTGGATAGGTCAAAGGTCAATCGCATGCCTATATATTGAATTTAACAGCAATTTAGACTTGGCTGTAACTCAATGGATATTACAACATAAGGGTTGTGTGCTCAATTCCAGACCTGCTAATTGATATGTCACCCTCCTGGCAGTCACTGGATGGAAAAACCACCACATCTGTTTTCATGAGTCAAACAATGCAAACAACACAATACATAGCATACACTGTTTACCAATTTGCAATTTAATTTAATTTCTTTAATTTTTTATTTGTAAATAAAAACACATAACAGTATTCTCAAGCTTAAATCCCCACCACCACCACCCCGACCCTCACCACCCCACTCCCACCCTTATTACAAGGCCCTGGTGAGGACACGAACGGTGACCTTTCTGCTGTGAGGCAGTAGCTAAATGTGAAGTACTTAATCAAATAGGGATGGTTACTGATAAATTAGATTAAAGTAAAATGTATGCCAAAAAGTCTGTTATCAAAGAACTCTTTGTCTAAACATGCAAACATGCATCTGTCCTGAAAAAACTCAAGGGCTTAAGGCACAGAAAAGGTTTAATGGGGTAAAAGCTAAGATGCCAGAGCAACAGAGCAGAAGAGGATTGTGAGAGTAAAACAAAGAATATTACAATGTTAATCAGATCACAGAAAATCTTTTTTACAATAAAAACCAGTTTAATATAAAGATCGATGTATGACATACTCCCATAGTTATTGTCTTAGAGCCACCCTTTTTTGTGGACTCTTTTGATTTGACTGCCTGACTTTTTTATTGCTTGATTTTAATCAAACCTCTGCTGGTGGAACATACCGTAATAGGAATCATCTAATAACAATGTGGTCTAACGTCACCCAGAATAATTGTTTCCACTCAGTAAGGTTACAGCTGCTCCTATGACTACAGTCACTCAGCGTCTATCTCAGAGAATACTCTCACTTTCTTTTCCATCCACAACCCCAGTTAGGGATGCAAATAGTCTCATCAAAGAATCAGTGGAGAATCAATCACAGTTTCATTAAACTGACTAAAAGGGTAATTGTAACATATCCTGACTTTTCGAGATTTGATTTTTCTTTCAAAGCACTTTAAATGCAACATTTATGTTTTTATTAAAAATGAAACTCATCTTTATTGAAGTCATACAATTGGATGGGACTCAGGCTGGCTGCAGTGCAGACTGTGATAGAGGCCAACAAATATAATAATTTACATTTCAGGGGTGTCAGTGGGAAGAACATTTATTAATTGAGTCTATCAGCTGTCTCTTTTAGTGGATCAAATACTAATAATTGATTTCACTAATTTGTTACGATATAAATCATTTAGTTTTATATGACTATAGCGCTAACTGTGTAACTTGTTGTTCCTGACAGTTTTACCAGCTGTGCCTGTTATAGCCAAAGCAAACAGGCTTTGTCTTTGGAAAGGATTTACTACAACAAATATAATTTCAAGAAACAGGGCGTGTTTGTTATGTGTTATGTGTACTGTACTGTAGTTCTCTACTGAAATGGAAGTATTTCTAGCAGTGTTTTCTGACAAGTTAACTGAATCTCATTTTTGCATATTTGCATTGTGTTACATGAATCAGCGGGGTAGAGTGGTGTAGGGGCAGTGGGCTACCAAATGGCTCCAGGTTGTATACCACCTGGTGGGTCAGGAAGGGCATGTGGTGTAAAAACTTCCTCATAAAAGGGACAAGCTGAAAGTAATTATTCTTCTTTTTCTTTTTTACATAAAATGTAAAAACAACAAATTTTAAGCGTTTTCTTTACAGTTTTTGTTTTCTTTGTTGTTTTCTGTTTGCTTCTTATTGTGCTTTCAGAGCCTAGACCGTACATCAAAACTGGACAAAGCAAGTGTACTGCATACCTGTCTATTTACACTAGTTTTCTTGTGTCTGTAATTATTTCCCTAATAGACCCATGATAACTATGGTGAGTTGCTGGAATTCTCCTGTTCAACATAAGTTTTGATAATTTTGTAGACCAGTAACCATAAACTGGTGGCTCAGGGACTGAATCCAGCCCCTCATACTGTCCAATAAGCAACTGAAAACCCCCCCCCCCAACAACTGAGAGTTAAATAAGCATCAGTAATCCCCAACATTTGTTACTCTATTTACATTTTGTAAGACAAAACATTTTTTTTCATTTTATTTTATTTGAGTGCCCGCCCCCAAAGTAACTGTCCTCTGTAAATATAGTTGGGGACCCCCTGTTGTAAAGGAACAGAGGAAGGGGAAAAAATGAGTGAATAAAGTGGATACTCTCCCCACATCACACAGTTCAAAGGTACACAGTTCTATGCAGTTTGGCGTTTATTCAGCAATGCAACAAATGATGGTATGCAGGTAGTAATGCAACATAAGGTGTCCTTCTGCAGCAGAAAAAAAGATGATTACATTGTTTTCTTATATGTGGAAATTGTGAGCGTTGTTTATCTTATGTCAGAACCTTTTGGGAAAGTTAAGCAGAATTAGCAATGAAAACATAGCAAAACAGTCATGCTCCTTATTTCTGCAGGTTGACTGTACCATGTGCAATGCATCATACTATAACGTAATGTGATAGTGTGGTTGTTTTGGTTGACGGTAAATACCCCTTTGTATTTTTCTTTTACATTTTTAGGCTAGTTTTTGGTAAAATATATTTGTTCACAGTTGTGTCCAGGTTCTCAAATGTTCTACAATGAACCTTTTCCATTAGTACAAATATCAAACTCATTAAAATTGATACACTCACTTTACCAGGTGTGCCACTATTTCCATGAGTCGCTGGTACAGACAGACACAGGGCAGTGAGGAGGGGAAAAAGAAGAATATGTCTTTGCCTCTACTGGTAAATTTCATGCCAAATCTTCCTTAACTTAAGGAAACACCTAATATGGATAACATTTTGACACAAATAACCTCATCCACTGTCGGATCACTCTGAGCTTTTCATAGTGATTCACAAATAAGCTGTGTACCAACTGAAAGACATGTAGGCTAGAGGTTGTTGAGATTTCTATGGGTCATCTGATTTCACTGATATGGTTCGGAGATTTAGTTACAACCTAATTTCCTAATAGAAATATCCACACTACCCAGATAACTTATTTCCGCCCAAAACTGTAAGTTTTACTACAAATACTAATGAATATTCACATTTAAATGGCATAACATGCAAATGCATGATAGCATAGTGCCATCATTGAAAAAAGAAGATTAGGGAAAAGGTCTTTGTGGAGGGTAAGGGGTGAGGGGTACTGTGGACAGTGCAGTCCATCACAGAAAGTACAGAAACTTCTAGCATATTTGTGTTCACCATGCTATTTCTTTTGGCCAAAACAATCTTTAAAACTCACATTTTCTTTTCTTTCTTTCTACTTCTTCTCAGTTCACAGCACTGTTGGAAACCTTACTTAAAGGAACAAGTGTCTGAAACCACGGAAGGTTTCGGCATGTTGTTTATTGTGCGTCTTAAAAATGTACTGTTAATCACCTTTTTTTTTTTCAAAAAGCTATCCCTCCAACTGTAGCAAGAGTTTGGAAGCTGCTCCCTATCATGTGTGATGAGACTATGATGAGATATGTATTTAAAAAACAAACAAAAAACAGACAGACACTAGACCTATATGCACAGGTCTTTGGTTTAGCTGATAGATCACTGATAGATAACATCTGGACACTTGATTGAGTCCAGGCAGAACTAGGGCCCTATATTCAAATAGACAACTTTTTTTTATCTTGCTACAACTTTAGTGTATCATAAATAGATAATTTACTAGAAATTATATATATATATATATATAATATTATATATATATATATGCTACAAAATATGTTTTTGTTTCTGTAAAACCACAGGCCACAGGTTCACCAAAATGCAAATAACCTTGTGTAGTAGCTGTGAATTGTCTTATATAGCAACCTTGGGAAGTTCAACACGTCAGCTGCTTGTCCTTGCTGAAGTGCTGGAGTGCAGCAGGTCATTCACGGAGACAGTCACTGTCTTCTTGTACTGGAGTCGAGCAATCAGAGCCAGCAGTTTTCTCCCTTCTCCTTTCTTTCTTTTCCTTTTTGCTGATGTTTGCTCTTTGTCTTCCCAGTAACAGCTGGAGACATTTGTTCTTGTTCTGCTCTTCATCCATCATTTTCCTGCAATGTGAGGCTAAGAGGACAAAAGCATGTTAGTAAACATCCATGAGTTTAAAACAGACACATTCAGTGTTGAGGCACTATTTTTTTAAAACAAAAAGTCCTGAGGTCTGTGATGGAGGCCAAAAAATATAATAAATTACCTGTAAGAAATCGCAGAATATATAATAACTGAAGAAGTTCAACCAGTGCCAAAATGTCAGTCTGTGGGTCTGTCATATTGCTAGGCACTGAATATTCTCTCTATGCTTGCTGCTTGATTTAAAGTTAAAAACCTCTTTCCATCATGGACTGACTGTGCAACTCTGGGCACAGAGCTCTTTACTGTGTGGAACTGTGTGACTTTTGTTGGTCACACCCTGCACCACATTTCAGTGACTATCTGATAAGAAAGCTGCAAGACGACAGCAGTTTTGTCTCAGGGGTTATTTATATGCAAGAGAGTGTTTTCATTAGAGAACGAGCAAAAATAACACTATCACATCGCTTCCATTTATTTTATTATTTTTTCATTATTTCTAATCATGGAGCTGTTCAGCAATGCTGTGTGAACCTCTACCTTTTCAAGCTCAACAAGACTGGAATTCAGATGCTATCGCCTCCACCGTGCATGTCTCCACAGGAAGACATAAACTACATACAACTGTAAGCTTTAGAGCACTACGCACAAGCATACGGAAAGAAATATGCAGGAAACAATTTACAATGAGGCTTCACCACCAGTCGCACGCTTAGGAAGGTTCTTGCTTTTTATGTGTAGCCTGGAATGAATTGTACTCAGGTAACAGAGCGCAATGGGCATTAAAACTTCCAGAAAATTATATTCTGTGATATTCTGTTACACCTCAAAACGTAGATGCTCGAAACCAAAGATGTGTTGTGCACAGACTTTGAAGTCTCCCTTCAAGGTAAAATGACCCAAACTCATCAGAATAGAGGAAAATCCACCTACAGCGGTCTGTGTACTGTCTGTCCTCTACTGCCCAGTCTGCAACATCTAGTAATGTTCTTCCAGAAATATCTAGTTATGAGTCGTAAGTTCAGGGTTTTAGTTGCATTTAAATAAATACACTTAGTATTTTAACAGTTTTGGGACAATTGCAGGAATAACAATGTAATGATCAAAATATTACTTCTTATTAAAGCTTTTTTTTTCCTGTATCATTTTACCATATACGTTCTTTACTTTCTAGCTATCTAGCTATTTTTTTATAATTGTGTTGTTGTTTTTTTTGTTTTTTTTTGTCTGATTAAATTCTGCATACAATGCAGTCTCTTTGTGCTGATATAACCTTGGTGACCTACTGTAAATAAAGCCTGTTTGTTCAGTTCAAACTGAACGTCACTCACCAACAAATCAATGCAAATATAGATTATCCGTTTTTATTTGGATGCTGTAGTTTGTTGTTTCTAGCATGGGCGTAAAATTATTGTACCTTTGAAATATTTATTGACACAACAGCTCAGCAGTCAAGAGCTAACCTGAACGTGAACCCTGAGTTAAACACCTGCAGTAACAACCTCAGAACCTCAGAACAAGTGCCATGTGTTTTAAAAAAAAATCAATGTTGTTATACATAAAATCCTGCTGAGAAAAAACAAATACAAATACATTTGTCTGAACTCTTTTTCCTTAAGCCCAAAATATTATTGAAACCACAACGATATGTATAAAACTGTATACGATAGTTAGTAATAATAGTTCTTTCATGTTTTTAGAATAGTTAATGTAAACACAATGAATAAAAGGAATTATATACTTGTGTATAATATTATATCTTATAATTACACAGACATACTGTAAGTATTAAATTATAATAATGAAATCTTTAGATTTTCCAAAGGGAACTACTGAGGGATTAAGAAAGTTTTATCTATCTATCTATCTATTTATGTTTAAATTCTTGCTGATAACACAGGTATGACTTAAGTATAAAGGGCTTGAGTTCTGTAGTCATAATTCCATCTGCTGTTGTGTTTAATCACTCATACACTGTGTTTGTGGCCTTTCTTAAGTGTTTGCTCAACTCCCGGATGCCTCAATTTAACAAGCCTGTAGTCAGGATTGACTCTGATGGCAGCTGACATGAAAGGGAGTGCCAGAGATTTTGCACAGGTCATTGGTTAAATGTTCTGCTCTGAGCTGCTGCTGGTTCCCTGCTGACTTCTGCCTGATCTCACTCTGAGTTCACTGACAACATGGTGGGAAAAGTGCAGTTTGTAGGAGCCAGATCACTAATCTGTGAATTTTAGGCTTCACAGCAATAAAGAGCATGCATTAAGACAATGATGTGCTTCCTGGAGACTCGTGATAACATCAACGAAAAGAAAAGTAACAGAAGACTCAAGAGGAAATATATCGACCATGCTTTCAAATCAACAAAAAAAGACAGAGAGATAAATTTTCATTGTGTCTGGACCCCAAAATGTCTGTCCAAAATAATTTAGGCCCTATATATATTTGGTGATCCTCCCTTAGAGGGGAGGCTGACCATGCACTTGTAAAACCTTAGTTCATAGTGGTCTTCTGTTTGGAGAACTGTTAATATTACTAAAATAGTTCTGTCACTGAACGACTGAAAATGTCGGTTGTCATTCGTCGTGATCACAAACAGAGAAGAAGAGAATTGGAAGGAAAGTTTAGGACAACTGTTTGTGAATGATAGTTCCATAATAATACAGGCATGGATGTGACTGGGTGTTTGTCTCAGTATGGTACCCACAGAAAGCACATGTCAGGGCATAGTACCCTGTGACAATGATCAGATTTATTCAACAAACAAGAATGAGACTTACAGGATACTCAAGAGTCTCAACAGTCTTCTGATTATTTCAAATACTCAATAGATATAATTTATAGTATATTAACATATTTTATTATATTCATATAGCATGTTTATATTATATTTACATTCAAATATTTAATACATTTGAATAAATATAATATGGTTATTATTAATAAATATGACCATTTTTTAAAATCCTATAGATATTCATCATTAGATGCTTATGTTGGAGCAGAGACTTTGATCTAACTCTGATGAACTTAATTCAGGGAGACACACTGACCTTTTTTGCATCATGATGTAATACTATTTGTATTGTGTTGAAAACCAGAATATGTCTTTATATTCAGAATTAACACTTTGTTTCAGCATAAACCTGACAAACAATGTTATTCAGGTTATTTAGCCACTTGTTGCTTTAGTGACTCGTGATTCTCCTCCCTCTATCATTTGTAATTTTTGACCTATTTTTTTTTAAACTAATGTTTTGGTAAATGAATGATACATTTGGCTTGTAATATTTTCTGGTAGATAAGGGCCTCTTGTTCCAGGTTGACTGAATTGTGCATCTTTTAAATCATGACTGGTGTCACTCCCTGTACTCCCTGACTTGAGTTCAAAAGTAGAACGCACATAAAGACATTGTATGTACTCCAAGGCTGAATGCATCATCTCCCAGATGCTGCCATATGTTTGGATTGCTGATGTTCAATTAAACACAATTATATAAACACATGGGACTACAGCCTTAAAGACAATATTTGGAGAGAGTGTTGTCTCAATGTAAATGCAGCTGTTTAGATGCTGTGTGAAAGGTCGTTAAGTGGTATCATGGTGTTGTGTCAAAAATTTTCTTATTTCCCAAAATTTGTTATTTCCCAAGGGAAAAGTTAACTCGTACACACTCATCATGTGATTAATACAAAATATATTTTCAATACAAATACAATACTGCCTGAATTCGTTTAAAATATATTTTTACTGTATCGCAGTCATGTCATGGTAAAACTTTACACAACTCTTTGCACAAAAGCACAATTCTACTCCATTACTTTGTACTTAAAAAAAAAATCTACAGTTATGAAATGGTTCAAAGCCAGAACACATCGGTGATGTTGGTTTTATCGCCATGGATGTGTCCAAACTCTTGAAAGTATTGCCAAAACTGTTTATGTTTTGTCCACGGATTACAGTTCAGTTTTCCTGAGGGTAGCATACTGTAACTACACAACACAACTTTGGTCGGTTCCACTAAATCCTTCGTTATTCTAGGAATAATCTTTAAAAAGCTAAGGCACTGGAAGACAGTTTCCCCCCCTTTGTGAGCAATTATTCAGATAATGTATAATTGTATAAGAGTGGACATGGAAACAAATGCGACATTTTACAAACCCTCGCAAATGTGATTCATGCTTATTTTCGGAAGTTGAACAACTCTTTTATGAGATGTTTACGGTAGTCTCTGTGCCGGGTCTGCTGGCTGACAGGTCATAACTGTGGATAGATATCTGTAGTCCAGTGCAGATGTACTTATGCAGCAGTTGTCTGGTGTCCAGGGCATTTTAGTCTTTTATTTAGAATCTAATGAAAAAACAAAGTTTTTATGATGACTTGCATTAAATATTCAAAAATGTAAAGTTAATGAGCTTGTTGTGCAGAAGTACAAAACAACGTGTCCTCTGCGTTAATAGTAATGCAGCAGTTCACAGCAGCAATGTGTTGGACATGCTGCTGTATGTGTTTGCGGTTCATTGTTCTTTGCTCTAACTGGCCTTCATGTTAGTCTTTTATGTCTATGATAATTATACGTCAAACAGAGTTTTGGCCATTTTTCTAAACCACCGTCTGATCATTTTATTTTACATATGCATAACACAAATGAATATAACAAAGTTGCATTCATTTTTAATTAGTACACGTATTAGTGTAGTGGATAAATGCTCTGTCACTGCACAACAGCTTTGATTTTAGAACAGATACATTTCAGACCTGACCATAATTGCAATGTGTAAACGATTGCTTTCTTCATCTGTTTGAAATATTTTAGCAGACTCTCTCCTTTAAACTATAGCATGAGGTAATGTATTGCTGCTGAATGGAAACGTGATGACAAATTGTACTTCATGTTCCGTGGTGTGTACGTGACAGAAGCTGAAGTTTGCTGTGCGTGTTGATAAGGGCAGCAGTGATATGCCTGAATGTATTTCTTTGAAAACAAAGTTACTATTGATAAAGGTTGTACTGTGCAGTGTAACCATAGAAGCCAAACACCACCATAAATCACTTATTTTTAAATCGTCCGCAAAATTATACAAACCAGCACATTTAAGTGGAACCTGAATAGAATGCTTCTTTAAAGATAATATAAAATAAACCTTAATTTCAGTCATTATCCTCTAGACATTGAGGTGCAGTTACTTTGACGACATTTCAAAGCTACAGATTCATCCTTGGACCCTGTGATAAAATCTTTGATCCCAGGCCTCGCTTCTCCTTCTCCTAAGACACCTGGACTCACTCTGTGGCATAATCCTGCTTAAACGCAGGGTGAGTCGGCTGAACTTTCCTCACGGGGTGATTTAGTAGGGTACACAACAGATTCCTTTTAAGGTAGGCTTTTATAAGCTCCTAAATGTTTCCCCCATTTATAGCACCCCTTGATTATGCTTGTAGAATTCCCCTGAGGCGGAGGAGAAGGAAAACAAAGGAGAGTAAATATTTGAATAAAAACTGCATAATGTTATAAAACTAGGCTTCTTGTGAGGACTTCACATGGTTGGGCTAAGGTTCACTGCAGCTATCTAGTCAAATTAAACAAAACAACCGGTGCAAATAAATATGCTTACATAATATTATTCAAAATAGAACAGTCACTGTATTTGAGAAAGTAAGGATAAAAGTGAAAAACATCTACAAGAAAAATCAAAACCCAGTCATTTTGATGCACCTGCTGTGGGTTTTGTAACTGTAAGGTAAAGATGACAAGTCAATTATTAAAATAGCCAACCCCAGCTAACCTCTGCCATTATGGGTGTTCTCATTGGCTGTCAGTCATGTAAACATCTTTCCCCAGATATGGGGAAAGCCTTGTGCCTCGCTGATAAAGATTTATCTGCAACAGAAGGTGTTGGGCAGGGCACACAGAGGCCCACTTACTAGTAGGGAGTTGTGCTAATATTTACAAATGTCTTTAAATGACCAGTAATCAGCTTGTCGTGCATGATGTAGTGGTTTTTACGGAATCTATTTAAACGCTAGATATAAAGAATATAATTTGTGCTAAGGATATTTAACGTCCCCATTGAAGATAATTTTATCTTCAAAAAATTACTTTAAATGCTATCACATAAACATCTGGCAGTTTCTTTTAATTTTATTTTATAATTTTTATTTTAATTAATTATGCATAAAAAAGAGCTAAACTAAATTCACTTTTCAAATTTGTTTTAAATGGTTCAGAGCACAAAATCTGAAGTGGATCAAGTATGATTTATTTTTTGTGCTCCATTCTGCCTTTTGTATATTTTGACTTCTAAGCAGCAGCTGCCTCGGTAGCAGCTGTTGCAGGAGCAGAGATGCATTCAAATGTGAGCATTAATAGTATTAGCTTTAATTTGTTTAGGAAATAATCTGCACTTCCCTATTTTTTCCAAATTTTGTATTAGTACAGTATGAAAACAATGTCATGGTACCTTTTTTTCAATAGATGCAAAGTAGAACATAATGTTATTCATGTTATCTTTGAAAAAAAATACCAATAGTAAAATGTCAGGATATGCAGAAAAAGATTTGAAAAAAAGTTAATGATTGTTAGTGGTTCTAACTCTAATTGTAGTGATTAGTTATTGTAATTTTGTATTCACAATAAATACCTGATAATAATGAAATTAATAAACCACATAAATTACTAATATTATGATTACCATTTACAGATGTGTAAAAGTCTAATCATTATTTGCCAAATTAAAATTTATTTATTATATTTTAGCAAATGTTTTTAATACTCAGCAGAGTTAATGTATATGCTATTATATGCAAGAAATTGTTATATTATATGTTATATGTAGAAAATGTGTAAAAATTCCAAAACTCACAGAATGTTTGATGCATTAAAAAGTGTGTATGTTATTTAAATAAGACAAAGGAACTCACAATCTCGTTTCTGATTCCGACAACTCGCTGATGACCGTGCTACCATTTGACTGTGGAAGACTGGGGGAGGCCTCCTCACTCCTGCTGCTCTCCTGCGAACTTGCCAAGCTGGCCTCACCCTCGCTACTTTTAGATGGAGCCTTCTGGAAGGTGCTGGCTATGCCGGTTTCACCCTGCCAGGGGAAGCAGGAACAGCGAGTCCGCAGCTCTTTATAGAATGTGTTTAGCTGCAGTGTGGACAGCCACGGACATCCAAGCAGGTTCTTGAATGCAGTACGGAACTCTGGACTCCTGCAGTAAATTATTGGATTGAGGCCCGAGTTAATGTAACCCAGCCAATTTAGCAGTCTAAAGATTTTCTCCGGTGTGACGTCCTTGTTGAAAGCGTTGATGATGTTGGCGACAAAAAACGGGAGCCAACAGACAGTGAAGGTCCCCATGATGATTCCCAGTGTCTTGAGGGCCTTGTGCTCCTTGACCAGTGTCAGTTTGGAAGGCCTTCTCTTGGCACTTTTCCTTTTTCCTGCAGTATTGTTGCTGCTTGAGGTCACACAAATTGATGGCAGGCTGACCTGTGAGGGGATTTGAATCTGTGTCGTAGTCATGGCGGTGGACTTTGTCTGGAAACGCATACGGTTCTTATCGATTAGCTTGACCTGCCGTGTAGCTATTAGAAAGACTTTTGCATAAACAAATATCATAATGATGAGTGGAATGTAAAAAGAAACTATGGAGGATACAATGGCAAAGGCCCAGTTGGTCACAAAGTCACAGCATGCAGAGTCACTGTAGCACCTCTCAGCTTCGGACTCATCTGCCCGGTAGTACCCTTTCATAATTGGCACAAAAGAAATTAAGGCAGACACCACCCACACTAAACAAACTATTAGCCGGGCACGCCACTTGTTTAGGACGACCTTGTATCGAAGTGGTCGGGTGATGGCGATGTACCGATCCACGGCTATCACACACAGGGTCTCAATGCTGGCTGTCACACAGAGGACATCCACTGAAGTCCAGAATTCACAGAAGGTGTCACTGAGTTGCCAGTTTCCCGTCACTACAATCGTGGCCCCCAGTGGTACCACGAAGATCCCCATGATGAGGTCTGCACATGCCAGGGACATGATGAAGATGTTCGTGGTTGTCTGTAGCTGTGAGGTGTGCGCTACAGCGATGATGACCAACAGGTTTCCAACCACTATGGTCAAGATGATAATTACTAGTATGATAAGGCTCCAGGGTCCAGCAGGATCATGGTAGGGTTTTGTCATGTTGATAACATAAGTGCTCAGGTTTCCATCCATCATTTTACAGAAAATTTCTTTTTATTATATAAAATTACACAAAACTGCCAAATGTATAGTCTTTCTGAGCATCATACATTACTCAAGACTAAGACAAGGATCTTTACCTTAAGAAATGTAATCGTAATAGTTACCCTATACTTGTCAGTATCAGCTCACATCTCAGACAGCATCTCTTCATGTGTCCACAGATGTGTTTGTTTGTGGAAGTTCTTTTGGTCTTTTCAACAACAACCATGACATGATTTCCAATGTCGTGAATCCAAACTGTCCAGAAAGCTGAAACAATATTAGTTCACGGAGATGCAGCACTTGGGTAAATCCGTAGGAAGTGCCCACAAGACAAGAGAAAAGAGAAGTTCTGGCATAGAAATCGCGGCCTTGTCCTTTTGAGATGTGTTTGCTTCTTCTTCTTGTTACCGCATGAGTCTCAGTGGCACAGCTGGGCTGTTGGAAATCAAGCAAAGAGTAACGCTGCTGCAAGAACCACCAGAGAGCACCAGAGTGGTTGCCCCTCTTTTTCTTTCTCTCCCTCTCGTGCTCTCTCGGCCGCTCTCTCTCTGTCTGTCCCTCTCTCTGTATCTCTTTCACTCTCAGAGCAGGTTTTCTAAGATTGTATTGGCTAGACTCGCACCGAGACTGGAGGCAGAGGGGAGGAGTTCAGTTGAGTGTTAAAGCCAAACAGCGATCAGTGCCTTGTTAGAGCCACACACAGGCACACACACTGATAAAGATGACCGATTACAGGTATAAATAACATAATGTGCCTTTGTAATAAATGAGGCTTTTGTGTTTTTAAAATTTTAGTTTTTACTTTTAATCTGAACAAATAATTTTCCAGTTTCTGTCTCCTTGGAAAAGTTTTCTTATGACTTTTGCCTCTGAAAGATGATTTGATTTGAACTTGTACACATGCATTCAGCTGCACAATATGAAATCACTTGCATGCAGCCAAACTGCAAAACTTTACAAACTGTATTTGAAGTAATACACAGATGTTAGACGCTCTGTAAGATAATGATTTATTTTATAACCAGCTTCTAAATCCACAGTTGGTCAAGGAGTTTATATTATTTTTGCATATTTAATATTTGTTTATTCAATATAATTCCATCTATACTTTTCGTCCCCTTTGCTCGATTTTAACAGATGATTCAGAACATGAACATTTTGCTTTGCATTAGGAGGAAATAGGATTGGCTGCTATAACCAGAAACACACTAGTGGAAGTTCTGACATACATTTTAGGATAACAATCACCGTAAGAAAATGGCGTATCGGGTTAAATATAATAGTAGTTATGATAGTACTATTCTGAAGCCTTAACATTGTATTCCCAACGCACCAGTCTCCCTTAACTTTGGAGAACAAGAACTATGTGCCATCCCTTTGACTACGCAAAGAAAAAGAAAAGTAATTGATCCCTATCTGACTGTTGCTCAACCCCTGTGCACTAAAGAAGAACAATCAGCAGAATGCTTTCCATGCGAGTAATCTCAGATATGCAGCTCCCTACACTGGTGCTTGCCTGTCCTGTTACCGAGCAGGTCCTTCTTTGGTCCGATGAGTTCCACGGTTGCAGCTGCAATGCCTCTGCATTCATTTATGTCTTTTTACTTCAGGCAAATGCCTTCATGGGAAGAGAGAAAAAAGAGTGGCGAACCAGGGGAACTGTTCCTGCCACCATTTGTGCCAAGTTACGCTAAAAGCTGTTCGCTCCTGTTTCCTTTTCAAAATAGTGCGTTTCACTGTTCTGATGTCCTGATTTCCATTCGAATCAAGAAAACAAAACAACCCGATTTCCCCAAACGTCAAGTATTATTTTCAGTCTTTCTTTCTTAGTTTTACATGAAGACAACGTAATTGTTTACAACAAGTGCCACAACAGTTCTCTGAGCTCGTGAAACCTTTTTGATCACTTAGGGACATGGTTGTTTTTCAGTTGTATAGAAAGATGCTTCTGTCCTCATTTGTTAATAAAAGTCACTCATGAGGCAAATGGCCCAGTGAAGGAAATCTAATAGTTTTCATAATCAAATTTTTCTGTTTTGATGCATAGTTTCTTCTATCGGATTCCTTCTTCCCTCATAGACCACTTCTTTCTTTAAGTCCAGTCCTCTTTGTCATTCACCTACAGGAAGTTGTGGCATCACAGCCCACTTTAAAGTGCATAAAGGCAAAACAGTGGATCCTGTTTTCAATGTGCTGAACAGGAGGCCCCATCTGAATGCATTTCTGCAGATGGAGGTCACAGTGACAGGTTGACAGCTGCTCGTTTGTCTTTCCATTAGAAGTTGCCTTTGAAGGGTCTGGACCTCATCCTAGACCAGTGGAGCACAGCAGCTGGCTTATGATGAACTGTTGATAGTGGACTCAACTGTGACAGCTCCATCACACACAAAGCCTTTGTGATTGTGTTACTTTAGAGATCCATTCATACACTGATTTTTATTGTGTGTTACAATCTTGTACCCGGGGATGTAGGTCAGGGAAAAAATCCCATTGTAATTTCTACATTTATCCATGAAATTAATATTATGCAGTGATTTCGGCAATAGCAGTCATGCTGGTAGCTGGTTAGAGTCTGGAGTTACAGTCAGGAGACTTACTTTTTTCACTTGAGGCTCTGTGGAACTCTGTCTTGTCTGATGTGTTTGTTAAAAGATGCACGATGGGATATATTGCTAGGCTGGTGTGTATCGGCTGTACACTTGATTTTGTAGTGCATTGTGGGATACATTGAATGCGTTATGTAGGGTGTAGGAAGCATTTTCAGACACAGCCATTATTATTATTATCACCCTATTTCCAACCAGGGACTATTTGATTGGAGTCAGTGGAATGTAAAAGTAAAACATCACATAAATCTAAAGCCTGACAGTTTTATGCAAAAATAAATGCAAAATAGATTCAGCTGATATTCTCAGTCATCCTCAACCTCAACAACAGAGAAAAATCCTTCTTATACAAAATTTCCATTCAGACTTTGGGAACTTGGGGAGAATTTCGATCCATTATCCATTGACTACCTTTTTATAAAATCAGCTAAAAATAGCTTATAATGAATTTTATTGCATGATATTTCCTTAGTCAAGTCTGACACCAGATGCAATGGATAAAGTACGCCAAGATTGGAGCAAGCTAATTTTGATTTGCTTAGTTTGTAGGATTTTATTTCTGTCAGCCAGTCTCTCTGTCTCTGTTTTTGAAGAAGTCAGACACTCTTTTCTGTGAGTTTAGGTCCATAAAGACATGACCGAACTTTTGCAGTAACAACTTGATGTTTAAATTTGAATGTGAATATTAGGGCAGACTTAGTGTCTCTCGTCACAAATGCTGGGGAAAAAAAAGGTCATAAACCACAAGACACACTCTAAAGGCCACCTAAAACTATGATAGCTGGTGTCGCTGCAAACACAACATTGACTCCACATGGAATGTCATTAAAGCAGCCTTGGGTGTAAAGTTGACCCAGTGTCTTTGTCCTTAAAGTGTATTTTTCTGTTCTTGGCCTAAGCTGTCTGTCACCTGGAATGATCCTTGCTTTGTTTGAAATAGGCTGTAAGCCTGGACAGCTATCCACTCCATTTACAGGGAGCAGGCTCATCTAGTCCAGCTGATGTTGGCAGCCTGTAAATAATCACAGCAGTCATAAAGTTTAGACACTTTGTTTATTATACACTCACTCCACACAGTGCACCCTGGGAATGTTCCCATCCTCTTCATGGAAATGTCAAAGACAATATGTTTTAATCGGCCTTCAGATTCAGAGATCTTCTGGTATTTCTCTCTGAAGACTAACAGTATGCAGCCTGATCCTTGGCAGCCATCTGCTCAGTACAGGCCTGCATTTCAATTTGCAGTGCAGTTTGTGTGCTCCTTGCCAACACTCCCACTCTCTAACCCCCTCCAATTCACATTCTGCATTACTTAGTGTCAGCCAGTTGTTAAACACAAAGTGTTTTCCACCTTAAATGTGCCAGTACACTCTGCTGAAGTGCCCACTAGCACTCTTCTTTTGTTATGCAGAAAACTCATCATTAGACCGTGTGTGCAAACCAAAGTCAAGAATTTACAGCAGATTCCTGATGACAAATATGCAGGACATGTTTTTTTTTCTACTTCATCTATTTTTTTCACTGCAGATTTTGAATGTATACTTGTAATATGATTAATATTGGCAGTGAGTGATTGACGCTGACTGGCCAGAAAATGTAATGGGCTGAAAAAAAAAACCAAAAAAAAAAAACAACATTTGCTCAAGGGATGTTGCTTGCTAATTATTAAATTCATACTATATTAAATCAACAATTAAAAGATAAATATTCCCAATTATAATGTTACTACTGCTTTCTGTTATATCAAATGATCAAAGGTTTACGTATGAATGTTTTTTTATTGTTTTTTTTTTTTATAAATTCTGGAACTGATTTACAGAAAATACATTTTGTTTATGGTATTTCTCAATTAGTTTCATGACTCAACAAACAATAACCGGCAACAACCATAATCAAATTATTTATATCCAATTGTTGTATATTAGTAGCTAATAATGGAGTGAGATTCATAGAATAGTCCAATAAACAAAAGGGTCCTGATGCAAAAATGTTTTAAAATGTCTATATCAGCTCCTTGTATATTGGACCATGCCATCCCTGGAATTAAGCTAAGGACTAACTGGAACAGGTGCTTAGTCTGACATTGGCCTGTAAAGGAAGATATGGCATTCCAATTTCCTGATGGTGGAATTTTTTTGAAGCAACACTAAGGATGAATGGATATTGATTCAGTGGAATAAGAACAGAAACTTGTTAGTCTGTTATGCTAATATATGTTCCATAGCCTATTCTGTAAATTAATAAATAATAAATCTAAAGTACTGTGTCAAAATGAATTGTATTTATGACCGCTGTGTGTATTTTAAAAACATTCTGGTGCAACGTATAGTCTGGAAATACCAGGAGGTTGCCGAGGGATTTGGAAAAACATTAAAAATGTTTCAACATTTCTCTGTTTCCTCTCTTAGAAATCCTGAAATTCCATCACTCCATCATTTGAATCCCATCTTGTTTTTCTGTTTTTAACATTTACTGAAACCGACTTAGATGGTGACATCACATTTCAACTTGGACATAAATCTGTTGAGGTTAACTAACCCAGTCATATGCACAACATGCTTCGCAGCAGGTATAGATTGTAGAGAAAATCTATCAAAGAGATTTATATCACAACGTTTGGAATGCTGGTTCTCCTCCATGTTTGCATCATATGAGACTCAGAGCTTGAGAGTGGTTCCCCTGGCAATCCTGAAATTAGGTTACAGGTGCCTTTGCTTATCTAGAGCCTCTGGCTGCTCATGTGTGTCCATCCTCTCACAGCTGAGGATAATCAGGCTGACTGATGGGTTTTATAAGGTGAGAAGTTTAGAGCAGTTTTAACCGAATGTGCCTTGGTTTTTGTTTTGAGATTTGATGCTTGTGTGATCTGTGGAGTATGCGCTCCCTCCTTTGGTGATTATCTGTTTCCTCTCCTTCAGTGACTCCCATTGCACTTTTGGTTTTGGTTGATTTTTTTTTTTTTTTAAAGAACCAAAAATCTTTGAGAATCA